TATATATAATATTGTGCTCTTTCTAAATTTTACAAGCATGAACTGAAATTTAGCCACAAAATGACTCACACAAATATAACCTACTGGGTTCTTTTAAAGGCGTGAATGTAGTAAGGTGTAACCCAATCTCTATGTGTCCACCCTTGCCCCATTGTCAACCTTTCAGTGCACACAAAGGCACATATAATACAAGATCGTGTCAGTTTACGAGGAGAGGAAAGGAGAAGTTGAATGCAATCCCACAACTGAAACAAAAACTGACACGAATCTACATTTAGAGAGACACAGACGAGGTGTATTACATAAGTACAGTAAGAGGAAGCTGGCACGCAAGTTGTTCTTGTTTAAAAACATGTTGTTGAAAATTTACTCTGAATAACATGATTGACATGTAGAAATTTGCAAAACAAAATGAAAAGAGAGAAACGGATGAATAACTGACTGCGGAGTGTGTTGCCTCTTATTTCCAGGAGGATGTCTGACCTTTGCTTAGAGGGGAGGTGGAGATGGAAACCTTATTTTCTTCTCACCATCTTGCTTGTGTTGCTGAGAGCTGCTCCTACAGGTAATGACTTACTCACATAAAGACAAAAAAAAAAGGAAATACTGATTTTTATTTAATGGAATATTTTACACCATAACATATTGTTGGCTTAACTTCAAATTAAGTGTGCTATTTTATTTGGCTCTAAGCCACCACTGAGATTTTATCTGTCTCCACTGTGTCGAAGTGCAATTAAAACTTTTTGTCTGGATTTCTTTTACCCATTTGCAGCACTTGGCAATTTCCTGGGAGACACTAAAGCAGTATTAAATGGTTGCAAAGACCACTGGACCCTGCAGGACAGGACAGCTGTGCCCCTCCTTTATGAGATGACCATATGTGTGGACATTCGTGTGGTCCTCCCTGGTGCTTGGGTGGCCTTCTCTTACCGCTCAGCCTTCGCACCCAGGCCCGAGTTAGGCCTGGAGGGAGATGAAAGAGCACTATATGGATGGCTACTAGGAGTGCGACACCGATTTCCTCTCCAGCTGTCCCCAACGCATTGGCACAGAGTGTGTCTAAGGAGGGATATAAAGGGCAACACTTTTAGTCTGAAGGTAACACTGAAAAGTGTTTGACAAAGCATTCAGATATTTTACTTGCATAAAAAGTAACAATGCAAGATTGTAAAAACACCCAATATTATTACAAATTGATGTATTTGTATGTATATGTGTGTAATTTATTTAGTAGTTACAATAAGAAGCAGCACAAAAGTCAAAACAACAATTTTCCCATGTTAGCACAAACCCAAAACAAACAGTGTTTGTAAAAAAAGAGAAAAACTGTTACATAACTGAAACTTGCAAAGACACTGCACATAATGAGTGGAATTTGAAATAAAATACAAAACAAAAATGGCAGGTACTGTTTAGACAAACACAGTTACAATTTTGCAAGAAGTTGAGTTGCTGAGTCTATGTTTAGCCCTCACAGTTGTATGAAAATAGATTCCAAAGAACTGCTAAGGGAAATATGTATTAGCTTGGTTATTTTAGGCAGGCCAGGTAATGCTAATGACTGCAATCCCTTGCTGTCTCAGTACTTTTGCTTTGTAGATACACTGTGATAGTTTTATCCATTCCATTCGCTTCCGCTTATCCTTTTCAGGGTCGCGGGGGGCGCTGGAGCCTATCCCAGCTGTCACCTGTGAAATATAAAATTATTTTTAAACTTTGTCAGAGCAATTTAAAGGATAACATTACTTTATTACAACTTGATCTTATAAATTTACATTTTGGCCATCATTTCTAGTTCTGATAGCATTTCTTTTCCAAATAAAGACTTGACTTGGCAAGCCAGCCATGTATATTAGTGGACAACCTACTTGGTCTAAGTTTAAAGTGCAACTCAGTGCTGCTTTGCCTTACATTTTACCTACTGTGTGGCTTGCTGGCCACTAGTGTGGATGTCCTCAGTGTGCTTCAGTTTCATCTTTAGGATCTTTAGGTCTCTTGAATGGATAGACTTGTAGTCCATCAGAATATGCATGTGGTTAGGTTAATGAGGATAGTAAATTGACCATAGGCATGAATGTGAGCATGAATGGTTGTCTGTCTCTCTGTTAGCCTGGCAACACTTTGGCAACCTCTACAGGGTGTACTCTGCCTCTCGCCCAGTGACAGCTGGGATAGGCAACGCCCCCCCCCCATGACCCTGAATCGGATAAATGAAAAAAGATCGATAAAATCGGTCTCACTCATTATAGGTTATAGTGACTACAATTGATCTTAGTCTTTTTTTTTTTTTAGTTTGCCTGCCTTCAAATGTGAGCAAACCTAGAAGAGGAAAAACAATAAAGACTGACATAGAAACATCTAACTTTTTTAATTGTTCCAGGTTGATGGGGACATTATAGCAGAGAGGACTGTCATCGCTCAGGCCATCCCCTCCTACGGCTCTCTGTGGATGGGCTGTCGTCCCAGAGATCCACCCCCAGGACCTAATCTCGGAAATGTGGAGCTGTACTTGTTCCGCATGTGGGCAGACTTGGGTGCTCATGGGCCCTGCGAGGACGGCACTGTGATTGGCTGGAATGCCAAATACTGGGGAGTGACCAGTCCCAGTGCAAGGCAAATAGACCCCAGCCTTATGTGTGGTGAGCCAGATATGAATGAATAACCTGTCACGGATCGCAACTGTTCTAGAGTAGATGTATTAATATTAATCATGAATGGTCTGCCAAACTAACAGTTCATAATAAAATGCAGGGCTGTCTTTTCTGTCACAGAAACGACCTTAATGTTAGCCAAACAGCATGTTATTAAGTATTTATCTGATCCTGCCTCATTAGAGAAGTTGCTACAGCTTTGCTTTCAGTTTTTTCATTTAGAAAAATAGTGTCACACGAGAGATTTTACACCAGAAATTAATTTTCAAGTCTTCCTTAAAGAGTTGAGAAAAATACAAAAACTAAAAGTGATTATTGAAAATTGGAAGGTTTCTTTTCCATTGTTTTACATTTTCAAAGTAATTTTTAATCATAAAAAAGCAGAGCAAACATTTAGACAATTAACTTTCAACAAAAACAAAAACTACAGGAATGGCACTCCAATATCATTTGCTTAAAACAATAACATTGCATGCAAAACTTGTCTTTGTTATCTTTATGCCTGTCACTTGTTTCCATACCACTGCAGTGCATGTTCTCCAAGCATGTTGAATGTTGAGTGTTGCATGTTTTTATGTGTCTTGTAGACCACAAACGGTTGAAACGTGGGGCTCGTGCTTACAGAAGCATTACTAATGGTGTGTATCCATGCGACTAGTGTGACTTAGACACCAGTATGTATGCTGTGTTTATTTGTCTAAATGTATGAATATAAAAGACTAAATATGTGTTTGTCCATTAGAGGATATTTCTATTGTTCGTTTAAGACTGTGTAAATGTGGATTCTCACCTAAAAACATAAAAAAATATAATATTATTTTATTTTTACATAACCAGATGGCCTATTTTTGTGTAAATATGCTTTTCAGGAATGCTATTGCAGTGTAAGAGATAGGAGTACCTTAACAAAAACTGTATCACAATAGCGCAGAAACAACAAAGAAAGAGACTAGAGGAAATCTACCTTGCTTTTACAATGCAAAAGAGAAAAATGTAAAGAATTCCTTCACATTTACAGCAACTACACTGGGAGCTGGCCGGTCCCTGCTGCCTTCATCTGGTAAGCATCACCCTGAGACACGTACTAAAATATGCTCTAATAACAACCCACAGAAACTTCTTGTTGATGACTACTTTGCATATTTTTTTCACTATCTGTATAAAGATATTTCATTTTGGTCCATTATTTTAGCTAGTAATAATGATTTGTGAGTTTGTCTTGTTACATTGGAGGCAAATCAGAAAAAACAACAGAAATCAAAGGATATTTTGTGGGATTTTGAGTTAAGATTTCTGTCTTTTGTATAAATTACAGGTTTGTCATAATAACATGAAATCATAGAAGATGGCTGAAATTTGATTTCTGGGCTAATCATTTGCTGTTAGATATGGTCAAATTATTATACTGCTACATACACCCACCAGCCACATTATTAGGTACACCTTGCTAGTGTATTTGCCTTCAGAACTGCCTGAACTCTTTGTGTCATACTTTCAGCAAGGTGCTGAAAACATTCCTCAGAGATTTTAGTCCATATTGACATGATAGCATCACAATTGCTGTGTATTTGTTGGATGCACATCTATGATAAGAATCGATCAGTAAATCAAGGTGCTCTACTGGTTTGAGAAATAGTAACCACAGAAGCCATTTGAGTACAGTGAAGTCACTGTCATGTTTTTTTAAAAAAAAACAAAACTGTTTGAGATCATTTGAGCTGTGGTCCTAATAGGATGAATACAAAGAGATCGACCTGGTCAGTCATTATACTCAAGTAGGCTGTGGCATTTGAACAACATTCAGTTGGTAGGGGCCAAAGGTTTGTCAAGAAAAAATTTTTGTATTATACATTGTAGCATTATTACTACTGCTACTACTACTTGACACAGTGGGCGGGCCTTGGAGGTCCAGGGCTATCCAATCAAGTTACTGTGCTCCCTCAGCTGAATTCTACTAATATACTTTAACTACAAGTTACATTAAGTCATACAATTTGGGAAAAACCCACATAATCAGCCATATAACTGCTAAGTTTTTGCAGAGTTAATGTCTCTCATCTCTGTCATCTGATTTGTCATTGTGTGATTTGAATTTGGCTCAAGAACCAACTGTCAAACTTGGTTGGCCATCCAATTCATATTCTCTGGTGCTGATCCTGCACTAGCCACATCAGTTAATAAAAGGCTGAGTGCACCAGATTTATTACATTAGATTCCTCACTATCTGGATGTCAGAGCAGAATCTGAGATTGATCACATCAGGCACCCAGACCTCCCTCCCCAGCATGTTCCACCGGGTCTGCCCCGGGGTGTCCTCCCGGTGGAACATGCAGCATCATTGTCAGAGGCCTGAACCACCACAACTGGGTACTTTCAATGTGGAGAATGCAGCTATATTCTGAGCCCCTCATGGATGGCTGAACTCCTCACCCTATCTCTGTCTCTAAGGAAGACGCCAGCTACCCTTCAGAGAAGGCTGAACGATAGCTGCTGCAGCACCAATCTGTCTTTGAAATTCTAGAAAAGCATTATTGGTGGAATGAAGTCAGATGGGTCATCAAATTGAATTTGTCACACACACAACCATACACAGTATGACGAGGTGGAATGCTTGTAGCTGTGCAGTGCCCGACCATTAAATGACAGGAGGTTTACAGTAAGATATACAAATTTACAGGTTACTACAAAATTTACAGCTTTAACTTAGAAATTTACAGTAAAAATGTGAGAAAAAAACAGTTTACGTAAGAGATTATTAGTCAAAAGAAATTATAAGTTATAAATTATAGGAAGTGTGCAAGAAGAAAAACCAGAGTGCGTGTGGTGATGTGATGTGTGAGAGAGTCTAGTCCTAGACCTGGTTCAGGTCCCAGAATAGCCTGGGGGAAGAAGCTCCTCCTCATTCTCTCTTTTTTGGCCTTAAGGGAGCGGAAGCGATGGGAGAGGTCCATCATAATCTTCCTGGCTTTGGTCTTGCACCGCTTGGTGTAGATGGACAGCAGGTCAGGAAGCTCTGATCGAATGATGCATTTGGCTGAGCGCACCACTCTACGCAGCTCTCGTATCTCCTGCTTAGTGCTGTTCCCAAAGCAGGTGCAGATGTTTCCCGTCAGGACGCTCTCGATGGTGCAAGAGTAAAAGTTCTTGAGCACCCTCAGTGGCAGATGGAAGTCCCTGAGTCTTCTGAAGAAGAAGAGAAGCTGGCGGTCTTTCTTAACGTGTGGCAGGACCGTGACAGGTGCTGAGTGATGTGGACACTCAGGTATCAGAAACTGTCCACTCTCTCCACTGGCATACCACTGATGATGAGGGACTTGTAATTCCTCGCCTGCTCTAATCAAGAGATTAGTGCATGTGGTAGTTTACCATCATGTGGTACTTCTTTAGAGGAGAGGGAACATCAAAAGCAGGTTCTTCTTTGGAGTCATCACTTTCATGCCGTTCTCACACTAGAAGCATCATTCTCTCAACTCTTAATGTACTTCTGGAAACAGTTCTCCCAACACAGACCCATATGTGCAAAAGACACTAAAATAAATCTTGAAACTTTTTTGCATATATCAAAACATGTGAAGTCTTTAAGACACCTAATGCTTTTAAACTTTTACCAAAACCTTGCTGTCTTTGGTAAGAATACCAGAACTACAAAAATGTTGGAATTCAGAGGCAAAAAAGAAATGTGAAGGATTTACTCTACAGTTTACTCAGTATGACTGCTAAAACTGAAAAAAGTCAGATCAGACACAGAAAACTATCTTCATCTTCTTATTCTATGTTCGGCTGTTCTATTTAGGGGTCGCCATAGCTAACCATCGCCCTCCAGCTCTGTCTCCTGTTTTTCTGACTATTCAAATTCAAATTCAAATTCAAATTTTATTTGTCACGTACACAGTCATACACAGTACGATATGTAGTGAAATGCTTGGACAACTGCTCGTGACCTAAAGAAAACAAAAAAGGAAAAGGCTATGAATAAGATAGGAAATAAATATGAAAAATT